GCACGCCGAGTTAGCATGTAAGTGTAATGTAATTGTGACCATGCTCATACATTTTGGTGTCTGGAAATACTTATCCTGTATGAGTGAATTCATAATTCTCCTCTTTGGGTTCGAAACCCTCAGCGCGCTCTCTCTCTTATTCTCTGTTTCCTCTCATTTCTCGGGTTTTCAGACCTATGTGAGTGAGTTTCATCTGTCCAAAGCGCAACTGATGAGCTTATGTGAGGATGCCAACGTGTGCCAGTTTGTCGAACTTGCCGACCGACTCTTATATCAGGCCTTATTGGATGTAATCATCAATGACAGTTTGAAATCAATGCCATCCAATCTGATTCACGGTGTACGAGTTCTGATGAAGCTGATGGAAGTAAGTTGTGGTCTCTGTGCGTAAACAGCCCAAATAAAAACTCCACTCCCCCAAATTTGTGCTCAACACGGAATGATAATAAAATAGCAGTAGTTCTCAAGCTTCAATTAAACTACCTGTGTTTGATTTACGCTATCATTCCTGTGCCGCTAGATTTTCTCAATTTGTGATTTTGATAGGGAATTTTGGGACTGATGAGGTAAATTTTCCAGCACAGTTATTCTTTACGATGATGTACCATGTCATATCATATCCGAGGTTTGTATATTTTCAACTTCATATTTAGTTGCTCGAAAACATTCCAGATTTATCCAATTGCCGTCTCGTAGTATCGATCCGAACTTGATTGAGAATCTGTTTACTGAGCTCAGAATGAAGCGGCATATATGCCTAAACTCAACTCTAACCATCAAAGTGACGAACAGTACGTTCCAAATTTCATTTATGAAACATGATGGGATTGATTCCCCGAAAAAAACTGAATTAGTAACCATGGAGGACATACGGATTATCAATTCACTTGCAGTTCATCATGTGTGCATTACGTAACATGTCTGTTTTTAGATAAATATCGTAAGCTGTTAACGTTACGCTTTTATACTGTTACAGTTGAATCGGTAGAATTGTTTTGGTTGAGTATATTTTTAACCCATCATTTCGACGGTTGCGATAGAAGGTGATCAAGGGCACTAATTGATAATGGTCACCCTCCTCCGGAAAAGACTGTTCCAACAAGATTGTTTTTCTTCGACTATAATCAGTTCAGTTCAGTTGTTACCACCATTAACCATGCACTTTTGTGCGCCGGTTTTGGTTGCTGTCTTTTGGTTGCCCATTTGGATAAAAGAGCGAAATGAAGATTGGAATGTCGAAGCAAATTCAAGCCAGATACATATATATATATCCACTGTACGAGTCCAAAAATTGCTGAAAGTTCTTTATGTGACTTGAATGGTCGGAATTCTTTCTGCATTCTTCTTTATTGGGTCTTCTAATCAGCCAACAGCCATGTTCACAGTCTCAGTTTTGAAATTTATTTTGTTAGTTTATTGGCTCCCGCGGTAGTTACTCTCCCGTTCATAATTAATAGAACACAGGTTTATCACTCACACGATTTCTGCTCGACAGATAAGCAGTTCACCACGCTTGCACATCAAGTATACATGTAGTTTGATGGATTGACATTATCACCCATCCGCGCTATGGCCGATGGTGAGGGCTTAGCGTGAGCGTCTCATTAGTACAGTCAGTAGGCCCTTTGTATTTTCCCACTGTTTTACTCGCTTCGATCAATTACGAACCATCTCCATTGCAAGTTTATAGACGTCAAACAATCCTCTGTGCCTCCCCACCCGTTCAAACTAGCCATGTCTTCGTTCGGCTATTCGTCAATTCAATCCGAATTTGATCAATATCAAGCTGACTGCGGTCAGTGGATTCACCAAGGGATTACGACGTGCTCTCGGTTTGACCCATTTAAGTCAGGCGGTGGTGAACGTGATCCAAGATCCGGAACGATTACGTCAAATGTTGAACGATATCACCAAAGTGGACTTGGACAGTATTGAGGTAAATCTCTGTTATGGTTATAAACTGATTTGTTTGGATGAGAGTACACCAGAATCAGCCGTCATTGAGGACTTCTGAGTGAAGTTCGTAAAACGTACACTGTATATTCGTGTAGGCGAAATTCAACAGCACTCAAATCAAGGACAACAACAAAAACAGTATCGTGATGTAACCAGACTGTTACGAGTCCTGAGTGTTCGCACCTCGTTCATTCGAATCACGCAATGGGTGGAGTAAGCGTGTTTAGACCGATTTGATTTGAAACGTTCGATGTGGGCCATCAAGAACAATGAAGTATCGTTTATTAGCCGCACCAGAAGCCGTAAATATTCAGATTCACAACCCCCCCTCGCTTATGGACCGAGAAAAAATGTCGCAAGCACTTGATCACCCCCGGGCCCACTTCATCCGCCCCAAACACTGGAACTTTTGACACTGTGGTCCATTTCATAAACACACACACACACGAATGGAGCCAGAAGGGAACCGACTTGAGACGCGAATTTCTCATTCCGTTTTGTTCTTTTTGCTAGTCATATTTGATGTTCTGTAATGCCATGAATATAAATAACTGAAAAACGGGTTGTTCGTCATACGGTTGCTGTTGGTGTTGTTCTCAAAATGGATTGAAAAATAATGTAAAAGCACTTGTGATTTTCAAGTCACATGTAAGCTCAATAACCTTTTGATAGTCATTCATCCAGGCAACACGTACTGTCTCGTCTTTACTCCCAACCGTAACCACTTTGTCATCGTTCCCCGATAAAGGATCTAAATTTACCGAATCGTAGAACGATTTTAACAGACCAGAATTCCGACGTGAATGTTTAACGTTATGTATTGGCATGATTATAAATGATGGAAAACCGGACTGTTTATCATGCTGCTGTTATTCTTAGTGCGTTCTGTGAAACTATTCAAACTGTGAAACAATCAAATCACAGGAACATATATCAAAATCTCTGGCCAAAACATAAATGTTTATCGAATCGGAGAGGAATTAATGCAATTACATCGGCATTGGTTTGATCTTGTCCGTGCTATGATGAGGTTACAAACAGAGACCAGTTCATGCGGAAGAATAAGACTCTACCAGGAGCATTTATGTGCATAATGCGGTCATTCTGCCTCGTGGGCCAAATTATTAGCCATTTGGATCTCCGTAAACCGCCACCGCCAGCTGGTAACGTCTCTATCCAATAGACGACAACCTAATTGACGCTAATCACCCTACATCACTGATCTTCAGGAACAGAGAAGCGGCAATCAAAGGGCGGTCATACTCGAAAAATGGAGGTTGTGAGGCGTTTGCGGGATTCAGACGCCAGTCCTCCAAGTGATAAGTAGGTGATCTTAGCTGCCCGACCACTGCCGCCGCTAATCTTTACTGAAGGTAGTTTTCACGGTAATTTTGCGATGTTATGCGTTGACTTAGACTGGATTGCTTTCTGGTCCTCATCCCTCGACCGCTTAAATGATTCACATGTGTAAACAGATAGGTTGAACCTCATGGATCTGATGCAATAGTAGTAGCGGCCTGGTCATAGATCGTTGTGCATTGATCACGGTTTACCAATTTCGTCTGATGTTAAGAACTAGAGGAACACTGGCTGATGTACAGCTATTGTGGAGGAATCTCCTGATAGCTGGTCTCAATGATCCTTTTGCGAAACGTGGTGAATCAAGAACCCTTTATTCCCTGGCCCGAATTCCGAAATCGACGATCGATATAAACTGATTGATGACTTCCACGAACTAATAACCAGTTGTTTCGAGTGATACGTGTTTACTGAGTTATACGTGAATTTAGGTTTTACAAATGCGCACTTATTATTATTAATAATACTATTGAATAAATTAATGCATATCATAACAAAAAGACGCATAACTGTTGTTGAAAAAGATTTGGTCTATTTAAATCTGTTCTGTACCTTTTCCCATCAAGCTTTGGCCATAACCCGCAATCCTTTAGCCTCGACCCGTAATCCTTTAACCAAAGCAGGAAATGCTTTAACCAAGACTCATACTCCCTTAACCTTGATACACAAACTTTTGAGTTACACTTGAAATTTTTACTCGGATGTTATACAGAAACACTGAAGCTGTACACGAGATGTATCAAATGGTTTGGTGATACGGGCTGATCGGTCAAACCTTCTTCAATCAACGTGTGTTGCAGCGTGCAACCTCCACACCTTTTTATTTCTTAACCAAGCTTTACCACATAAACATTTGGAGAAAGTTTTTTTGGGCTAAAGCAATTTGGGTCAGGGCTAAAGGATTATGGATTTTAGCTAAAGCATTTTGGGTTTTGGTTAAAGGATTACGGGTCAAGGCTACGGGATTGCGGGATTTAGCTAAAGCTTGATGGGAAAAGGTGTAGTATTATTCAAACCATGCCAGATTTATGATTTATTGGTAGACAGGTTGTTACACATTTGAATATTTGAGTCTGGATGAAACATACTGAAATGTAAAGCTTGAATCCTGAATACTATGCGGCTTAATTCAACCGCTCCACAATAAATGAATATCAAAGTGGAATAAATTGCATAAATTGGCTATAATTTATCATAGAAAAAGTACATAGCTGCTTTAAGGTTTGCAGGTTTAAGGAAAACTTGTCTATAGTCTAAAAGATGGGCAATCTGACTTGACACTGTAAGGTACTATATATTAAACCCATTGTCATACCTCGTATTAATTATATTAATACTTGTAGTAAGCTGCATATTTTAGTGGTTTTAAGAAATATGAACTCATATCTGGTGCAATTCAGACGGCAAAATAATCTGCCTGAAAATGTATCTATCAGCCTACTGAAATCACGAGTAGCAGAATTCAGCATGCTTGTCCTTTGAAAAGAATCATTTTTCCTTATTGAGCCCAATGATGACTGGATATCATTTAACAAATAACTGAACACACTGTAAACTCAAAGTAATGTTTTCTGTGTGATCTTGCACCCCCCCGTCCCCCCGTTCCCCCACAAATTTGAACCCATTGAATAACCAGGCTCAAGGTTCATGGGCCAGTGACTGCCCGCCTCGTTTGCTGAATCTGGCTCCGGCACACGAGAATAAACTGTCGAATAAATCAATTCCTGCTGGACTATTTGATTCCGGTGAGGACGCAGAAATGTTAAATCGAGGCAATGCGAGTCTAACGGCAACGGTTGATTTCGAGTCTCTGCTGACCAGTTGTTCATCTGGCCACACATGGTCAACCCCAATCACATCCACGCCCAGTCACTCCGGTAGAGCATCGTCCATGAACACGCTTCCCTCTGTGGAGCAATGGTCATCTCGAATTGGCATCAAAGAATTGCACAAGGAGTTGTGTAATTTGTTGTCCAATCGAGGCAATCTATCTGACTGGACTGCATGGCTTGATCGAATTGTTTCACGCAGTCTGTCCGGACGCGTGTCCGGGCCGAAACGGGCCAATGCAGCACGCCAATTAATGCTAGTATGGACGTATTATAGGTGAGATGAAAAATTTGCGGTTCTCGACTTACAGAACCCCGGCAGTTATTTATATCGGTAATCATGAGCATATTAATTTTGAAGTCAATTTCATTAATCAAAGTGGCACAATTCAGCAGACGGTTAATCAGCATTAAACTAAAATGATTACACTTCTCATCTCTGGGGACCGAGACACACACTAAAGGAGTGTTGGAGGATTATATTGGTGCATTTTGTCGTGCACGGCGAAAATGAAGCCCAAACTGAATTGCTAAGATGCACTGGATAGCTGTTTCAACCGTTTCACACGGTGGTGGTGGCGCTGTGGTTTGCTCGCTGACACGGGCCTTCTTTGGACCCTATGGTACAATGTTCGAGCCCCGCCACCACCACCCAACTTTGGTGGTAGGCAGCTGTGCTGTCGTCCGGTTCAATACCACGCCTATCCTATCGGGGCCTTATGTGGTTCGCCACTCCAAGTCCCCGGGCTTAGTTTACCGGTTTCCATCAATGAACAGCCGGTCCTCGTGACTGGGGGTTCGCCCCGTCTGCCGTTCAGCACACGAAAGTGTATATTAAAAAAAATTGTGTTGGAGATAATGCGGACCGATGGTAGCTCGGGATGTAGATGTTTTTGGTGGTGTGTTGCCCGAGCTTTCCCGAAGTTGCACTGATGATGTTGCCTAGCCTGGCTACGAAAGTTCTGCGAACAACACTTCCAGCTCGGGGAACACACCATCAACAATAGCTGTTTCAACCGTTTCGGGACTCGTTAGCAGTGCGAATCCATCGGCACAACCGAGGATCGATCCAGAAACCTAACAGGTAGAGCTAAAAGATACTATTCATTTGAGTACCGGGGAGTTGATCAAACGGATTTTTCATTTTGAATTTAATGATATATATATATATATCATTGCATGTGAACAAGTAGGTTGCCTGTAATGGGAGGCCTCAGAGTGATTGCAGGTAGGTGCCTTGGGTTGAGGTTGGCCACAAAATTCTCCTATATGACCAAGTTTCTCAAACATCCTGTGCTGGAGGAGCCGTACTCAATGCCTTCCCATGGCGGAGGTGTTGTCCCATCAAAGTTAGCGGACGAAAAGTCAACATTTGGAGCAATAACCGGATCGGTCAACTACTGACAATTCACCTAGGGGAGTTGGCATAAAATTCCTGATTCCGAACCAAACAAGAGGAAGCATACAAATCCCACCAATCCACACCTTCCTGGTTGTGATAGTGGTCACCGACCCCATTTGGTATCGAGGTGTATTGGACACCTTGGATGTTTGAACCAGTCCAAACGGCGCGTGATCCGATGAAGTGGACACTGTCACCCATAGGCTTATTGTGCTCACACAGTCCGGCTGTCTAGAGGGTCAGACTTTGGCTAGCCGAAGGTTTCGATCATGAACTCACCTAGAACATTCACCTGCTTTGGCCTGGGCAACCAGGCAGTATTCAGCCTGCATGCAAATCATGGGGGGTTTTTCTTTATAGAAATAATACTGTACCATGATTCGTGTGGCACAGAGACTGGCCACATAGGTTTGTGAAATGTGATGGTAATTCAGGATTTCATTTGTTTACTAGACTAATTTCTTCATTAGATTGATGAATTCTATCTTAGTCATTGTGAACTCTCCATGTCCCCCCCAACAGAATGATCATACTCCACTATGCTCTCGTGCACAATCACCGGTCCTTTTGAATAACCTACATCCTGCCTCAACTTGGTTAATTTCTTATATACTTTGTAAACCACGTGTTATCAACAAAGACAATAAAATTTGGTAGTTTTCTGCCGCCATTCTTAAACATTTATTTGCGTAAGCTAAACACGTGCATCTATTCATGACGATGATACTGGAAGCGCAATGCACTTGTCCATAAGCCACGACCTTGGATTAGAGCTCAGGCTTTACTCAAAGTCAAAGTCAAGGTTGATATGGTTGATTGTGGTAAACATTGACATTCGTGCATCTTCCCAATTTTGTTGCAATATTAATCCACTGAAATTCCCAATTTTCTCTTCAATTTCATTTTCAACCTTCCTGTCTTTCTGCTATTCTTCATTCAAATGGGCAACCAAAAGACAGAAACCAAAACCGGCGCACAGCAGTTCATGGTGAATGGTTGTTCAAACTGAAACAAAGTGTTATTATGGGGAATAGTTACACGCGGTTGCTCTTCTTGTCCCATAGGATGTATCACAAATGGATCGAAATACTGTTCATAGAACGATGAGGAATATCATAAATTATCCTTGTTTTGTGCACTACCACGGCTGTTGAAGTGTAGGACTTGTCTAATTTTCATCCAGTTTATGCTTGAATAAAATCAATTATGGGAGCAGAAACAATGTGGAGTGGCAGAGAATTTCAAATGGTGCAAACTCTGAGGGCAAAAGAATAAGGCCGCCATTCTAGTCGAAGTTCTTGGAGCACCAATTTGAATGAGTGCCCTCAGGTGAGTACTGGATGACAAGGCGAACAGTGAACGACACTGATGATCGGGGTTCTGCATTATATGATATACCAAAATCAAGTTCCCTCGAATTCGGCAATACTATGTGCAGTACAGCCTCAATGATTCCAGTCTTTTCACATGAGTCTTGGAATTCAGTCCCTTGACCATTTTGGTGGCCGTTCTTTGTGGACGTTCCAGACTCTTAAGATCATGTTGCAGCCATAGATTTCACGCTTGAATGGTGTAATCTATGTGGGGTCGAATATAGACTGATAACAACCGTGGGAACAGCGTAGGTTCAAATTTGCCACATAATCTCTTTAGCAAACCAACATGTCTCACGGCGGTGAACGAGGCCCTGGAGCAGTTTGACAAACAACTGAGGTCGTCCTGAACAGTAACACCGAAATCCTTCTCATTTGACACATACGGAAGTTGTTGCTCCCTCAAGGAGTACGGAAACCGAGTTTTGTGTCGAAGGGATACGACCGTGCATTTGGATGCATTGAATTCGATGTCATTTTCGATCAGCCATTAATAAGTAGCATTAAGTGTTCTCTGAAGTGCCAACGAGTCCTCTGGTTTTGTCACTGTCTTCCATATTTTTGCATCATCCAGTAAATAATCAACACAAGAAGATGGATAGAAATTGAATTCGAGGCACGGATTTCATAACAAATCAGGTTTGACTAGACAAGTACTTCCCGATTTTCTGTCTGCTAAAATTTCTCCATATAATGAGCGACAAGCGTCATTTGCTCTGATGATTCATTGATCAAACAAGCTATATTGCATCTGTTTCGTCCGGTTTTCATCAATCTTATCGATTAGAATGGAACTATCTGTCACTGTTAAAAGCTCAAATACTGTTTGTATGTGACAAATCTAGCAGATTGGTTTTGATTGAAGATGTCCCACTTTGTAAAGCAATCCTCAAATTACTTTTACCTACAATTCCGTGTTTCTTTTACTGTTTCTCATCCCTCCCTCCCTCCCGCTCTCTCTCTCTCTCTCTCTCTCTCCTCTCTCCTCGACAAGTTCTTTGCTGATGCGTGAACTCACTCTACGGTCTGCAGTCAGTTTTAGCAGTTGCCATCTGTTACGAATGCTTTGCGATGAATATCTGTCATATCGATTGGAACAAGTTGCTTCCAGTCCGCTCACCTTGTTACCCAAATTGTACGAACCGGTCAATCTGTGCACAACCACAGCCGATTCTCAACCGGTTTTCCCGAGCATGGGATCTACACATGCACCAGAGGATCGACTGATAGCGGATATCAGACCGGAGCTTGACAGTCCGGTCCCGTCGGCTGGAATGGATCTCGGTCCACATTCCCAAGTGTTAATGGTGCCCAATCTCATCGAGGGTGCAGACACGTTGACCTCATTAAATGATACTTGCATAGATTATATTGATTCGCAAATATTATCTTCTGGTTACGGAGATGGTTCACTGTTGACGACATCCCCGATATCACGCGGACAACCAACATCTGAGGGCTATTTCACATTAAAATCACCGGATCTCGGACCGGCACGATTTCTTGGCTCGGATATTAGCGAACTGGATCGAACAAGTAATTACGTAAGTGATTTAATTTGATATTCTGATTTTATAAGGTTTTCAGTTTATTTCTTAATTTTCACGATTGATACGTAAGTGAACAGTGAAGGCGGAAGCACAATGAAAAGGTTCAGTTCAGTTCAGTTTTTACAACCATTAACCATGCACTTTCGTGCGTCGGTTTTGGTTACTGTCTTTTGGTTGCCCATTTGGATAAAAGAGCAAAATGAAGATTGAAATATCAACGCAAATTCAAGCCTAAGATGGGGAATTCATATAGAATGGTGTTAGGAGAATAACGAGTGGATACAGGAGCGCCAAATGGAGAAGTTCAGTGGACTAAGGGTGGGAAGAAATTGAGAAGATGCACGAACGCCACTGTCGCGACACCCAGCCATATCGCTCAGTGTCTCTAACCATCGGTTACGATCATCCCGAGGTCCTCAGCCAGGGAGCCTAACGGGGACTATGTGGCCTAGTCTCCTGGTTAGGGTTTTCGTACCCCCATGCCAGGTCTTAGTTTGACCNTCACTTGCTCTAGTGGACGACAGCGAATGCCTAAAACTCTACGCCTAACCTCAGCATTGCTAGTCCGGTTACCCCACCAGACACGTGCAATGCTACGTAGACAGCGGGGTTCGAACACCGTCAATCTATTTTTATCCTGTTCCCTTAGTGGCCAAGCCTCTGCGCTGTAGAGA